AGGCAACTTGGCAAGATCTCGTCTCTACAATAAAGCAAAAATTATCCAGGCGTGGTAGTGCACGCCTGTAGTTCTGGCTACTTGGGAGGCTAAGGCAGAAGCATTGCTGGAGCCCAGCAGGTTTACACTGCGAGTGGCTGTGAATGTGCCACTGCACTTCAGCCCGGCAACAGAGTGAGACTCCAACTCTAAAAGAAAAATTAACATTTTTTCTCTATTCTTCAGATTGAGTAATTTTTCTTGATCTATCTTCAAATTTACTGACTTTCCTCTCTGTCATCTCCATTCTACTCTTGAACCCATCCAGAAGTATGTTTTCCATTTCTAAAATTTCATTTTTAAAAATAGTTCCTGTTTCTTTGCTGTGAATGTCTGTCTTTTTGTTAATTTCCAGAGGGTTTGGTTTTACCTGGTACAGCATGGTTTTAATAACTGATTTAAAATCTTTGATAATTTCAACATCTGAATCATCTCAGGGCTGACATCTACTGATGGTGTTTTCACTTGATATTTTGTCATATTTTCCTGGCTTTTTATAGATAGAGTAACTTTTGTTTGTCTGTTTTGATTATTGTTTATTTAGTAATAGAGTCTTGCTCAGTTTTCCAGAGTGGTCTCGAACTCTTGACCTCAAGTGATCCTCCCACTTTAGCCTTCTAAGTACCTGGGATCACAGGCATGAGTCACTGCACCCAGATTTTATATCAAGTAATTTTTTATTATGTTCTGAACATTTTAAATAGTATGTTCTGAAACCCCAGGTCCTGTTGAAATTCTCTGGAAAATGTTAATTTTTTAAAAATGTATTTGTTTTGTTTTAATAGGCAATCGACCCAGTTAAGTTCAAACCACATGTTCTGACTTGTCTTCTGTGAGCAGTGGTTTCAATGTCAGTTCAGTTTTCCAAGCTGCTTGGGTCTATCCCATTCATGTGTTATTCAGGGCCAGGGTTTATATTGTCATTTAATTTACAACTTTGCTGTGCTTCTTTGGGTCTTTTATGCACATATGCAGTTTGGGGGTGAGTTCATAATTTGTGTTGGCTCGTATACAGAATTAAGCAATCCTATTCCCTAGCTCTCTACTCTCCAGGATTTTCTCCACACTCTCCTACAACCAGAGTCTACTTTTCATGGTTCCTCTGGACAGAAAAATGGGTTTTCTCTTGGGAATTTTTTTATCAAGTTCTCACTCTGTCACTCAGTTTCAGTGCAATGGCACAATCACGGCTCACCACAATTTCGACCTCCTGGATTCAGATGATCTTTCCACCTCAGCTTTCTGAGTAGCTGGGACTATAGATATGTACCACCATGCCTCTAATCCCAACACTTTGGGAGGTGGAGGTGAGAGGATTGCCTGAACCCACAAGTTCGAGACCAGCCTGGGCAACATGGCAAGACCGTACGTGTACAATAAATCAAAAAAATTAACTGAGCATGTTGGTGCATGCCTGCAGTCCCAGATACTAGGAAGGCTGGGGCAGAAGGATCACCTGAACCCGGCAAGTCAAGGCTATAGTAACCGTGAGCCACTGCACTCCAGACCGGGAGACAGAGTGAGACTCTGATTCAAAAAACAAAACAAAACAAAAACCAGGAAACCCATCTTTATGGATCTGTCTTCATGTTTTGGGTTTTCTCCCCAATCTGCCTGCTAATGTTTATTTTTCAGCATCCTCAGGCAGTTTCTTTTGATATTCTGCCAAGGTTTTTAGTTGTGATCAATGGAAGAGACAGGCTGTAAAGGCTAACACCAAGCATGAGGTGACCGTTTTATTTATTTATTTATTTAAGTTGGAGTCTTGCTCTGTCACCCAGGCTGGAGTGCAGTGGTATGATCACAGCTCACCAGACTTGACCTCCTGGGATCAGGCGATCCTTCCACTTCAACCTCCTGAGTAACTGGAACTACAGACATGCATCACCATGTCTGATTAATTTTTAAAATTTTTTTGTGGAGACAAGGTTTCACTATGTTGCCTAGACTGGTCTTGTACTCCTGCACTCAAGCATCCTCCCACGTGGGCCTCCCAGTGTTGGGATTATAGGTGTGTGCTACCATGCCCAACCAGGTTACTGTTTGCTAAGCTCTTTCACAAATGTGTTCATTTGTCAGATATTTCACAATACGTTTTTTTTTTTTTTTGAGTCAGCATCTCATTCTGTCACCCAGGCTGCAGTGCAGTGGCATAATCACGGCTCATCCCAGCCTCAAACTCCTGGGCTCAGCAGATCCTTCTGCCTCAGTCTTACAAGTAGCTGGGACTATAGGCATAGGCTAATTTTTTTATTTTTTTGTAGAGACGAGGTCTTGCTATGATGCCCAGTCTGATCTTGAACTCCTGGGTTCAAGCAATCCTCCCACCTTGGTCTCCCAAAGTGCTGGGATTATAGTTGTGAACCATTGTTCCTAGCCAGATATGTCTCAAGCAGTCACTAGGTGTTAGGCACTGTGCTGGTTGTCAGATTTATAACAGAGAACTAGACAGACACTTTCTACACTGACAGCCTAGCAGGGAACAATGACACTGAATCAGCATGCATGTGATCTGCAAGAAGCAAAGGCAGCTTTTATTTTTTTATTTTTATTTTTATTTTTTGAGTTGGAGTTTCACTCTGTCACCCAAACTGGAGTGCAGTGGCCGCTCCCGGCCACCGCAGCCTCGACCCACTGGGCTCTGGCGATCCTTCCACCTCAGCCTTCCGAGTAGCCGGGATTACAGGCGTGTGCTACCACGCCCGGTTGATTTTTGATTTTTTTTTTTTTTTTTGAGTTGGAGTCTCACTCTGTCGCCCAGACTGGAGTTCAGTGGCCGCTCCCGGCCACCGCAGCCTCGACCTGCTGGGATCCGGCGATCCTTCCGCCTCAGCCTTCCAAGTAGCCGGAATTACAGGCATGCGCTACCAGGCCCAGCTGATTTTTTGATTTATTGTAGAGATGAGGTCTCGCTGCCCAGGCGGGTCTTGAACCCGTGGGCTCAGGCAATCCACTCACCTCAGCCTCCCAAAGGCGTGGGATTACAGGCTGAGCCACCGAGCCCGGCCTGATTTTTGATTTATTGTGGAGATGAGGTCTCACCAAGTTGCCCAGGCGGGTCTCGAACACACGGGCTCAGGCAATCCATTCACCTCAGCCTCAGCCTCCCAACGGCACGGGATTATAGGCTGAGCCACCAAGCCCGGCTGCAAAGGCAGCTTTTAAAGAGAATCTGACCTAGTCCTTGGTTTGCAGAAGGCTTTCCTGAGAAGCTAGCATTTAAGCTGAGAACCAATGGAGCAGTATGAATATAAGCAAAGAGGTGGACAATAACCTGCCCGGCAAAGAATAGCACCCTTGGCAGCCTTCACTGGGGAACGAGGCAGCATGGTCTAGAAAGTGAAAAGATGTCTGAGTGACTGGCACAATTAGAGGAGTGGCATGTGGATGTGAAAATGAGCAGGTGTCTTAGTCTGTTCAGGCTGCTATAACAAAATGCAATAGCCTGGGTGGCTTATAAACAACACACATTTATTGCTCACAGTTCCCGAGGCTGGAAAGTTCAAGGTCAAGGTGCCAGCAGGGCTGAGCACAGTGGCTCACGCCTGTAATCCCAGCACTTTGGGAGGCAGAGGTAAGATGATTGCCTGAGTCTGGGGGTTTGAGACTAGCCTGGGCAACTTAGCAAGACCTCGTCTCTACAATAAATAAAAAAATTTGCTGGGGGTGATGGTGCATGCCTGTGGTTCCAGCTGCCTGGAAAGCTGAGGTGGAAGGATCATCTGAGCCCAGCAGGTTGAGGCTGCAGTGGCCATGAATGTGCCACTGCACTCCAGCCTGGGCAACAGAGTGAGACTCCAACTCAAAAAAAGAAAGAAAACAAAAAAGGTGTTAGGAGATTCAATTTCTGGTAAGGGAGCACTTTCTGGTTTGTAGATGGCGCCTTCTCCCTCTGTCTTCACTTGGTGGGAAAGAGTGAACAACTCCCTTGGGTCTCTTTTATAAGGGCACTAATCTTACTCATGAAGGCTCCATTCTCATGACCTAATCCCTTCCCAAAGGTCCCACCTGCTAATACCATCACATTGGAGATTAGGTTTCAACATGTAATTCGGGCAGAACACAAACATTCAGACCAGAGCAGCAGGGTTAACCAGGAGGGTAGGTCTGTGGATCTTTGCAGAGATTTTTAACTGGGAAAATGAGAAGCAGAACATACCTATCACTTGGATGGGTTTGGAACCTGATCCCATTTTACAGATGGGGAAAATGTGGCTCAGAAAGGTAGTCTGAAGCACAGTGGTTTACAGACTAAGCAAAAAGGCCAGAGAGGGAGGTTTTGTGTAAACCAACAGAGGACGAAAAGGGACAGGCAGCCACATATTTGCCTTCCTGACGATTCCTTCTCGTCCACCTTCCCGATTCCTCCTCCCCTTCTCCTTCTCCCCCCATTCTCCTCCCATCCTCCTCCTGCTGGAGCCTCACTCTGTCCCCTAGGCAGGAGTATAGTGGCAAGATCACAGCTCACTGCAGCCTGGACCTCCTAGGCTCAGACGTTCCTTCTGCCTCAGCCTTCCAAGTAGCTGGGACTACAGGCCCCCTCCACCACACCCAGTTTTTTTATTTTATTTCATTTAATTTAATTTATTTTATTTTATTTTATTTTAAACTGTAGAGATGAGGTCTTGCTATATTGCCCAGGCCAGTCTCAAACTCCTGGGCTCAGGCAGTCCTCTGGCCTTAGCCTCCCAAAGTGCTGGCATGATAGGCACACTGCCATGCCCGGCTAACTTTTTAAATTTTTTTAAATTGTAGAGACAAGGGCTCGCTATGTTGCCCAGGCTGGTGTTGAACTCCTGGACTCGGGCAATCCTCCCAAAGTGCTGAGATGACAGGTGTGAGCCACCATGCCCGGCCTGCTTGGTTTTTTCATCTTTGCAGAACTGGGGAGGTGGGAGGTGGCGGTGAGGATGTACTCGTGTGTGCCCAGTGCTCTTAACGTGTCTGCCTGTGGCCGGCAGTGTGTCCAGCAGCGTTACCTACCCGTTCCTGTCTCCTGGAGAGTACACCGTGTTTGCAGAGTGCACCACCAGTGAGTGGCACGTGACAGCTCAGAAGCACGTGACTGTGCGAGTCAAGATGGAGACACTCAGTGTGACAGGGTGCTCCGGTCTGTCGGAGTCAGGAGCCAGTGCCCTCTGCCAGGCCGTCTTCGGGGACCCCCTGTGGATTCAGGTGGAGCTCCATGGAGGTAGGTCTGCAGAACTGGGTAGGTCAAGGCCAACTGCAAGATAACTGGTTTCCTTCAAGTCTATCCAACTTCCAGGCTTTAATAAAAAATAACAGCAATCACTTAGTTCATTTTTTAGCTACTGTTTATTCACTTATTTGGCATCTAGTGTGTACCGGGTGCTGTTCTAAGTCCTCTACATAGAATAGCCGCCTCAGTACTTACTAGTACTATCTCCATTTTACAGATGAAGAAATTAAGGCACAGTGGCTCATGTCTGTAATCCTAGCACTTTGAGAGGCCCAGGTGGGAGGATCGCTTGAAGCCAGGAGTTCGAGACCTGCCTGGGAAACATAGAGAGATCTCGTCTCTACAGAAAATTTTTAAAAATTAGCCTGATATGGTGGCACGTGCTTGTAGTCCCAGTTACTCGGGTGGCTGAGGTTAGAGGATCTCCTGAGCTCAGGAAATCGAGGTTGCGGTGACTCTTGATGGTGCCACTGCACTCCAGCCTGGGCAACAGAGCAAGACTCCAACTCAAAAAAAAAAAAAAAAAAAAGAGAAAAGAAAAGAAGCACCAAGTTCCAAAGTGAGTAAGCTAGTGAGAGCTCCCAGTCTTCCAAAGGCACTTCTTGGGAAGACATGCTCCTAGTCCCATCATAAGAACTACAATTCCAAGCCACTCACTATTGAGGGAATTTGAATAGGATGCAGTGGGACTGGGAATGCTCCCAACTGGGCCTGGCCCATCTAAGCACAGCTGGCGTCCACTAATTTGGCACTATCAAGTTGCACCTATCAGAGCTGACATTCAACTATACCCACTGTTATGGCCAAGCCAGTTGCTATGGCTAGGGTCCATCCTGATTGATCACAGAGACCACACTGATAGGTTTTCATGCCTAGTCTGATTGGTCAAGGTGTCCATACTGATTGGCCATGACATCTATTCTGATTGGACACAGCATCTGACTGGTCACAATATTCATACTGATTGGTCACAGCATCCATTCTGATTGGTCACAGCATCCATTCTGATTGGTCACAGCATCCATTCTAATTGTCACAGCATCTCTTCTGATTGGTCACAGCATCCATTCTGATTGGTCGCAGCATCCATTCTAATTGGTCACAGTGTCCATTCTGATAAGTAAGAGCATCTGGTCTAATTTTCTGGTGCTTAGGCAGTGTAGGTTGTTAAATATTTTAATGATCACCCCCTTTCTCAAGAGAGACTCTCCTAAGACCCATGGTCTCCCAGGGCAGCGTCTCCCCAAAGCACAGGTCCAGTTTGAAATCAAGTCATAGGCCTTGTAGCCAAGCGCAGTGGCTCACACCTGTAATCCCCGCACTTTGAGAGACAGAGGTGAGAAGATTGCGTGAGCTCAGGGGTTGGAGAGCAGCCTGGGCAACTTGGCGAGAACTCGTCTCTACAGTAAATCAAAAAATTAGCCAGGCATGGTGTCACTCACCTGTGGTTCCAGCTACTTGGAAGGCTGAGGCAGAAGGATTGCCAGAGCCCAGCAAGTCTAGGCTGCGGTGGTCGTGAGCGTGCCACTGCACTCCAGCCTGGGTGACAATGAGACTCCAACACACACACACACACACACACACACCACACACACACACACACACACACATATACACACATACTCACTCACTCACACACAAAAGACATAGGCCTTTTGGTGGAAACAGCACATCACAGAGCTAGAGAAAGAAGCCCAGGGCCCAGCCTAGCTTGACGCCACACACCACCTGAAGCCTCATTCATAGAAGCAACTTAAGGAAGCCATCCTGGAGCTCTCTCTCAGGGCTCTGTTCTTGTGTGCCTGTTGGCTGATGTGTGCACCTGAGGAAACTTAAACTAATCCTTTGTTTATCTGCTCATTCTGCAAATATAATTGACTGCCTACTCGTTGCCAGGTGCCGGGGAGGCAGTAGTAAATGTGAAAGTCAGGGCTCCTGCTCTCCTGGGGATTGCATTATTATCATCATTGCTTTCCTCCTCCTTCTCATCATCCAAACAGAAATATACTAGCTTGGTTTCTATTGGAAAGAATCCTAATTTGTTGGTTTAAATCCGATTTTAAGAATCAACGACAATATTTAGCAATCCATTTAGAACAGCCGACTGGGCACTGTGACTCACACCTGTAATCCCAGCCCCTTGGGAGGCCAAAGCAGGAGGATTGCTTGAGGCCAGGACTTTAAGACCAGCCTGGGCCACATAGCGAGACCCCATCTCTACAAAAAATAGAAACAAAATTCTAGTCAGGTGTGGTGGCAGGCACCTGTAATACCAGCGGGAGGATTGTTTAAGACTAGGAGTTGGAAGCTGCAGAGAGCTGTGATCGTGCCACTGTGCTCCAACCTCCAGCCTGGGCAACAAAGAGAGACCCTGTCTCTCGAAAAAAAAAAGAGCAACCATCTGCAAATTGCAAGGGATTCTCATCTTACTGGGATCAGGCCGAGCTTTCATGGTGGCAGGGTTCCAGGCGATCACCAGAGCAGGTTGAATGAAATGGTGTTACCTGCTCCTGCTTCAAACAAGATTCAAGGCTAATTCTCATGCATAAAAATCCGCCTGCACCCTTAAGAGATGCTCCCTTTTCAGCCTTCTCCCGCCCAAGGATATCCCAGCAATGAACAACAACAGAAAAATCCCTCTAATTTTTTTATTACAAACTTTAAAGTTCTCAGGTAACACATGCATAGTATAAATAAATTAGAATACTCATATGAACAGAGAGGACCCAAAAAGGAAAAAAAAATCACTCATTAACTCAGGGATAATCACTGTTAATATTTAGGGAAGGAGGTTGTAACCCTATCTGAGAGGGCTTGTGCGTGATGTTTTTGATTATCAAAGAAGTCACCCAGAGGTTCAACAGGGAAAGATTTTGGTTTATTAGAACTTACAGGAGGCACTGATGGCAGCTGATTGGTGAAGAAAGAATCCTCATCTTAGGACAGTACAGTAAGGATTGGGGTTTTTTTTGTTTGTTTGTTTTGTTTTGCCTTTTTTCTTTTTTTTATAAGGAGACATCTCACTATGTTGCCCAGGCTGGTCTCAAACTCCTGGGCTCAAGCAATCCTCCGGTCTTGGCCTCTGACAGTGCTAGGATTATAGGTGTGAGCCACCATGTTTTTACAATTACATCAATTAAGGTGTCACCCACATTGTTCTCAGTGACACTTGATCACCTGCATCCTGCGACTCATTACTGGGAATATGCGTGTCCTTCAGAGACAGAAGCCAGGTGTTGGGGAGAAGGCGTTTATTTCTGAGCAATTACCTCACAGGGGTACATCCTCACTTGTTTCTTTATATCTATATCCATATCCAGAATCTGGCTTCAGAGCCTGAGTCTGAACCGCCAGTAGTATCGATCACCTGCGTGGTTGTCACCAACATTCTTCCATTTTTCTTACCCCACCCAGGATCAGAGGTGACTTATACTGTGCTTTCGGGTAACTTAACCCTGGCTGAGTCCACCACCCAGACGGGCTTGCTGCCGTACAATCTGACTCTGGACGGAGAATCTCAGGAACGAATGGGCCCTGGGTTGCACCATCTGGAGATCCGAGCCGCCAGCAACACCACCACTTCTGCTCTCTCCAGAAACATCACGGTTCACTTTGTGGAGCTGCTGTCAGGGCTGCAGGCCTCCTGGGCTTCCGACCATTTGGAGCTTGGACAGGACCTGTTGATCAATGTCTCGGTGGCTCAGGGCACCCTGGAGGAGGTGACCTTCAAGGTGGCAGGACTCAATGCAACATTCTCCCATGAGGAAGTGAGCTTTGGAGAGCCATTTGGGATTTACCACGTGGCAGTTCCAGTTGAAGGTACTAGGGTTTGGGGGCTCTCCTCCCAAGCTCCTTCCTCTACCCTTTCTGATTTGAATTTCAAGGTCCTACTAGTCAGTTTTTCAAAGTGTCCTGGACACAAACATTCCAGCATCCCGCAGGGGTCACAAAAGGAGAACTAGCTATTATCTGTCCTCATAGAGCCTAGAGTTGCAGAGTTTCTTGACTTTGACACTTCTGACATCTATAATTCCTTGTCAGAGTTGGGGGCCTGCCATTGTAGGAGTTTTAGCAGCATCCCTGGCTTCCAGACACTAAATGCCAGTAGCACCAGCGCCCCATGTCATGACAACGAGAAATGTCTCCAAGCTGGGCACAGTGGCTCACACCTATAATCCCAGTACCTTGGGAGGCTGAGGTGGGAGGATTGCTTGAGACTAGGAATTCAAGACCAGACCTCATCTCTTTAAAAAAAATTTTTTTAAATTAGCTAGGCATGTGGTGGCATGTGTCTGTGGTCCCAGCTACTCGGGAGGCTGAGGTGGACGGATCACCTGAGCCCAGAAGGTTGAGGCTGTGGTGAGCCATGATCATGCCATTGCACTCCAGCCTGAGTGACAGAAAGTGACCTAGACTAAAAAAAGAAAAAAAAAAAAAAAAATCTGCTGAGGGGCAAAAATCACCCTCGTTGAGAAGCACTGGAAGAATGAAGGCATATTTCGATGCTTTCAACATCCCTAGAGGAGAGTATAGTCTAGGAAACCTCATTCCATGCCTTAGGGGGAGAGATAAGTAAAGTAATCATAATAACAATAAATGGAGGGTGGCAAAGAGGAGGAGGAAGACAGGCTGTGTCGGGATGATGCTGGCTGGGGGTCAGACTGGCTGGCACCAGCTGGTGAAGAGGCCACAGCACACATTTTCGTTTAATCTGGAGGAACAGAGAGTCCTTGCAGGCCTTGTGATGAGAATCACAGTCTCCAACCCACCCAGGACCTGCCCACAGCTCCCCCTGTCTCAGAGGTGTGTTAGAAAGCAGGTGAAACTGCACAGGCGTGGGGTTGTCATGCCCTCAGTGAAGGACTTGGCAAACTGATAGCAGAAGGGGCCATACATTCAAGAAGAACTCCACTGGAACTTTGCCAGGTACCAAGGGCCCCGCTTAGAACAGGAAGAATCCAGAGGTTTCGGAAACTGGGAAGTGCACAGAGTGATTAGGCTAGAATCCAAAGGCAAATTTAGTTTTGCCTCCCATAAAAGTAACTCCTATAAAAGTCCGTGGGAGAGCCGGTTTCGGTGGCTCAGCCTGTAATCCCACGCCTTTGGGAGACAGAGGTGAGTGGATTGCCTGAGCCCGTGGGTTCGAGACCCGCCTGGGCAGCGAGATCTCATCTCTACAATAAATCAAAAAATCAGCTGGGCGTGGTAGCGCACGCCTGTAATTCCGGCTGCTCGGAAGGCTGAGGCGGAAGGATCGCCGGAGCCCAGCAGGTCGAGGCTGCGGTGGCCGGGAGCGGCCACTGCACTCCAGTCTGGGCGACAGAGTGAGAATCCGACTCAAAAAAAAAAAAAAAGTCCGTGGGAGAAGTGTATCCGTTACTGATTGACAAAATCTCCACATGCTCTGAGACTTTTTTGCTCACTGTTAGATGATTAACAGCCTTCTCCTGCCCCTAAGGCAGGATTTGGACTATTCCAGATATTGATGGAAGGAAGGAAAGGGAACAGGATAGGACAGGAACATTTGTCCTTGGTGGTACTGGCTCAGTCCTGGCTGGCGACTCTCGGGGCCCTGCAGATGTTTGAAGTGGTCTCTTGTGGGGGCTTCCATGAGTCTGAGGCCCCCTGCTGGGCCCCTCAGACCAAAGCTCCCGGGATGGGGTGGTGTCTTCTCTTCAGCTGGTCCCATGTCCTGACTGCTTCTCCTGTGCTGCCTCCGCTCTCTGCTGCCTCCCCCTCCTCGCTGTTCTCTTCAGCACCCTGTCTCCCCCGAGCCCACATCTGATCTGCAGAAAGTTCTTACCCATTCCTTGCCTACTACCAGCCAACAGTAGCTATTTTCCAGATGCAGAAATGCGGCCCTTGGCTCTCTCCTTCTCCCCCCACCCCAGCATAGACTGTTCCTTCAAGTGCTGAGTAAGGAGCCTGTCTATGAGATTCTCAAACCTCAAAGAACACATACCAAACTCTTCAAGAAAGGTTCCCCACTGAAGACCATCTCCCTAGATTTGGGGAGAGAAGAGGGTAGACTGCACCCACCACCTCTTCCCATGAGGGAAGAAGAGAGAGCCTTTACTGGCACCTCTCCCCAGATAGATCTTAAGAATCCTTCTCTGGCCAGGTGTGGTGGCTCGTGCCTGTAATCTCAGCACTCTGGGAGGGTGAGGTGGGAGGACTGACTGAGCCCAGGAGTTCGAAACCAGCCTGGGCAACATAGCAAGACTTTCTTTCTTTAAAAAAAAATAGCCAGGCATGGTGGCATGTGCCTAATAGTCCCAGCTACTCAGGAGGCTGAGGCAGAAGGATCACCTGAGCCCTGGAGGTCAAGGCAGCTGTGAGCTGTGATCATACCACTGTATACTCTGGCCTGGGCAACAGAGTAAGAACCTGACTCAAAAAAGAAAAACTCCTTCTCTTCCCTCAGGATTTTCTCTTCCCCTCTGCTGGAATCCCCAATCTAATCTGACTGTCAAGTACTTGCTCATTCTTTGGAATTTGGTTCCAGTCCTGGCTCTATCCCATGAACCATTTCCAGTCTCTCCTGAGGTTGAAGTGACCCCACCCCAATGCTCACAATGATCCATGCCTATTCCTGCCATGGTTTGACACTACTAGACATGATGGTAAGGTTCTTGAAGGACCGTGTTCCCTCATCTCTGTGTTCCCACAGAGCCTTGCGCCATGCCTGGCATACAGCAGGAGTTTATTAAATGCTCAGAAGGTGAAAGATTCTGATGTGGCCATCAGGGGCTGCAGCAACGCAAGCTTGGAGAGTTGTCACCGTACATGTTAAATAGTGAATGACAATGCCCATGACTCTCGGTCCATTGCATTGCAGGTACCTTCCTGGTCACTGTACTGGTGAGGAACACCTTCTCAAACTTGAGTTTGGACATCGGGACCATCACGATCACAGGTAAGGGGTTTCTGTCAGGGGTTGTAAAACCTGTTACCAGGAGTCCAAAACATGGCACCTGCTTGGGGTCTAGTGAGCGACCCTTCCAAACAGGGCTCTGAATATGCATCTTGTTCTATAGATATTAAGAATTCTCTGTTTCCTCTAAAGAGGCAGTGACATATACACAAAACACTGATAGAGCATTCAAAAACAGGAGTGTTTGTATTAGCTAAGATGCTTTAGGCTGCAGGTAACAGAAAGTCCAACTTAAGTGGCTTAAATGCAGGACTTTCTTGTCTTACATAAAATAAAATAGGCCGGGCCCGGAGGCTCATGCCTGTAATCCCCGCACATTGGAAGTCAGAGGCAAGAGGATTGTCTGAGCCCAGGAGTTCGAGACCAGCCTGGGTAACTTGACAAGACCTTGTCTCTACAATAAATAAAAAAATTAGCCAGGTGTGGTGTCCAGATACTTGGAAGGCTGAGGTGGAAGGATGACCTGCGCCCAGCAGGTCGAGGCTGTGGTGGCCATGAGTATGCCACTGCCCTTTAGCCTGAGTGAAAGAATGAGACTCTGACTTGAAAAAAAAAAGAAAAGAAATTAGGAGGGAAATAGTTCCAGGGTTGGTTCAGCAGCTCAGTGATGTCATCACAGAGCCAGGCACAGTCTGTCTTTCTGCTCTGCCATCGTCATCCTGAGGTTTGCTTCTCACAGAATCAAAATGGCTGCTGCAGTGCCAGACATTGCATGCTAGCCTGACATTATCCAGCCGCAGGCAAAGGGCATTTCCTCCTGAGCACCTCTTTTATGAGAGAGAAAATCTGTCCCATTAGTCCCCTGCAATCTTCACCTTGGATACCATTGACCAGTGTAGGTCATGTGCCCGACTGCAGGGGATGCTGGGAAAGCAGGTATCCAGCAGTTTCAGGGTCTGTGGGAGAAGGTGGATTCTGATTGCCAAGAGGGAGGGTGGGGTAATGACTGTGGGGTAGCCAGCCATCAGTAGCCATCATAGAGTTAAAGCTCACCTTGAAGGTGTCTGTCAGGACTTTTTTAGTAGTAAGGGACAGCAAAGCAACTCCAGCCGGCTTGAGTGAAAGGAAATTTTATCTGCTCAGAAAGTGAAAGGTGCAGAGAGTTGACCTGGGTACAGCTGGGTCCATCTGTCAAACGATGTCTTCAGAAACCTGCCTCTCTCCACCTCTTGGTTCCATGTTGGCTTCATTCAGATCCTCTCTTCCCTGCAGTGGCAAGATGGCCCCAGGCTTTGATCATTAGCCTCTGGAGAACCAGCTCCTCTTGGTGAATATTTCTAGCAAGAGTCCTGAGCCTGCCTCTTCCTGGTCCAAGTCTGTTCATGTTCCCTCCTGGACCAGCTGCAGAGACCAGGGGGAAGCGGCATTCAGCTCGGGCAGATCTGACTAAATCCTGTGTTTTATCTGCATTGGCAGCTGCCTCCTTCTAATCGCAAAAGAGGTGTCTTTAGTTCAGTGGTGGACATGATGGCTTGTTTTGGACCCATCTCCCTATGACCTGAATGTCTGCTGTGCCTTGTGAAAACATCTTTAAAGACTGGCGGATAGCCAGGCTTGGTGGCTCAGCCTGTAATCCCGTGCCTTTGGGAGGCTGAGGTGAGTGGATTG